ACAAGCAGATGAAGTAATATTATCAAAATAAATGAATTTATAAATATATCATTACAGATTGATCATTGTATTCGGAGTTTTCCGTAAAATTCCTTAGTTCCAAATTTACTTATTCTATTTTATACTCCAGAAATACCTACTCATACAACGAACGTCTGAACAAACTATTTCCGCGAAGATCTTTCGAAAAACGATTTGTATCGATACGTATGCATTTATGGATCGTACGAACAATAAATGAGTGAAATAATTTACCTAAATTATAATCGTTGTACAATGTATGTTATTGTTGCTAACAACGAGCTTTACAATAAATTCGTTACAGTATTAACTGTGTAAAACTATTCTGTGTGAAAGTGTAACTTGTTTACCTTGATAATATTATAATAATGTTCAATATTTGTAATAATACTTCGAACGATCTGTCAATTTATTCAATGCATAATTATTAACTCAGTAAGTAATATCGCTTTTAATTACGTCGTCATTACTTCTAGCTTTATTTCATTAATTGCTGGAAATTTGCAAATCGTACAATCGCTGTCGCAACTCCGTTCCAACGTGAACGTTCATATATAATTTCAATTTTCTGACGTGTAATTATTTTTCATTGAAAAAATTATATGTAGCAAAACGAGATTTCTAGCCTCCGGATAAATCTTTTCTATCAATAAATCGTATGTTGTAAGTTGTGCGTCGTGTAGAATATTTATGTAAATTCATATCTTTTTTAACTCAATGAAAAAGAGAAAATCTAAATAAAAATTTATATCATGTAACAAATATTATAAGTGCATTACAATAATTTGACTGCCCATTTTTATGCATTTTCATGCATTATCAATTAAATTAAAAGTAAAGGAATAATATCATTCCTTGGGCAGTCAAATTATTGTGCATTAATACTAGAATCACTGACGACTAAAGTCGTAAAAATTGTATCAGAGAAATTAGTGTGCAAAGGAACAATTTATAATGCAATGAAGAACCTTTATTTGTATATTTTAGAAAAATTATTCAAATCTCCAAAAATGCAACATTCTCAGAAATTAAAAATTGGCCATTTTTATCACTTTGAACATCATGAAATTATTATTAGTTACGATAAATTAATGACCAAACAGCTAATCGCATATTTTAAATAATTCAACAGACAGAATCTAAATAAAGATTTGTCGCTTCATTTATTAAATACTTCAACTGTGTCATATCTCGGCTATTTTATATTGGTCTAAATTTTCCATAGACGCGTAAAAACCCGCTGTCTAAACTAACAATCGCTAAGCATATGTAAATAAGTGATGCACGTGGTCGTTCCATGGCCGTTTTCTCGACTCTGAGATCCATTTTTAGATTCTGGTTAAGGTGACGATTAGACAGCCACGGGAGACCAACGCACATTACGTTCATGTACTTGGACGACGAAACGTCGTTCTTGATCCTCCCACGCGATCTCTCTTGAAACGGAAATACCTTGGCGACTCTAGCAAAGAGAAAGGGAAAAAATTGACTTCTTCAATGGGATACAATGCACGGTTTTAAGAGAGCTTTTACACAATATCCTTTGAATAACTTGCATGAATAATTATCCGTGCCATTATTCTTTTATCGACCTATTAAGGAGCAACCCGTATCATTTGGAATTTTTATACTGCAACTACGGAAAGGGAATGTCTGAGATCTCTGTTTAGATCTTTTCGCGATTTTGCAACATCAAAATATTCAAAATATTCGTGTATTTGTGATATTACAGTAAATCATTCAAACGGTTTATTTAATCCTTTGAATAATTTTAAATTTAATTCTTTTGTACGAACGAAAGGTCATTTAATTATTGCATCGTTTATTAGAATATAAATGAACGAAGAAAATTTTGTTTATTTAAATATTTGATTTACGTTTTATTTAAATATTTACTATGGTCAAGAAAAATGTATGAGTGTATATTGTAGTATTAAAATCATAAAAGGGTACAAAAACTGTCGAACATTTGCTGAGATATTAATTTACGAACAGTCTGCTCAAGAAACAGAAGACAATTCTTCAAAAGTATATGAAACAATAATTGTAATATAATGTTATTACACCTAAGTTACACGTAAACAAAATTTGATATAACTCTGAACAAAGTAATTTAATTGGACGTTAATATACGATTCAACGTGTATTAAAAAATGGCGTCGAAGAATCGAAAAAGAATCGGGAAGGATCGTGATTTTCGTAATCGGTGCATGAAAAAAGTTCGGCGTGAAAACACGAACGTGCCGTATTCTCATCACGTGGCGCATTTCTAATTACAATTCAACATCGAGAGGCAATTAAAGCGTCGCGCACGTTTTACAAAGCAGAGGATTAATACGCTCGTTCTGTGCTCCACATACGTCTCTTCATTAAAAATCCTCTCCTCTCACTGCAGCGTATCGTTCAAACGCTCCCCCTCTCTTCTTCTGTTTTCTCGCTAAGATGCACTCGAAAGCGAAATCATCGCAGCTTCACGTAAACACGTGACCACTGACAGCAGTTCCGTGAAAACAGAAATTTTTATTCCATTTTCGATCAAACTGTAATACAAAATAAATATTGATCGAGTCATTTAAAATCAAAGATTTTATATAAGTTGATAAGTTACAGCTTCGTGGCCACAAACAACCCTTCTTTTCGAAAAATAGAAATTTTAATCCAGTTTCGATCAACAACAATTGGTGACAATTCTCAAATTGAAATATTAGTTTCAAACACGTTACCGTCCATAAATAATTGAGTACCATGTTCAATTCCATTAAAAGCTTGATATTTTTGTTACGTTTCGACAATTCGATTGTTAGCTCTCTGCATTTTTCGATCAAACACAAATATTCGCAAGTATTTAAAAATATCGAAATCTTTCGTATAAGAGAATCGACATCGAGATTTTCAATTTTCCATACATTTCGGACAAATATAAAAATATGTTATATTTAAAAGATTTCTAAAGATACATTTTAAGTACTCGTGTTTTATCGAAAACTGTTTGCCAAGAGTGGTATTAATTTCTACTAAATAGTTTGATAGTTTAAAAAATCTGGTAATACTATTAAAAAATATATATTTTAATCGTAATTTTAATTTTAAAATTCCAACAATAAAGAGATACTCAAAGTCACTATACAGGTTACCACGTAATCATTATAATGTTAACTACTCTTTTTATCGATATCTGTTAAGTATATACGTCAAGATTCATTTGAATCATATTTTATACTGAATCATATTTTATAATTGAGAATTGTCCAAATGCTCGTGTATTTATTTATCTCCAGTACCTCATTATCGTATTATTGTACCTCCATTATTTTTGGTATTTCATTATAACGACCGGTGACAACGTATGATTTTCAACGATTAATGATCATCAAAAAACGAATTATAACAACGAATATAACAGATGAGTTATTGTACAATATTACATTATTATAGTGAATTATTCAGTATTCATTTATTCAAACATTTATTTAGTATTTCTTACATTTTACAAGTCGCATCAAAAAAGAAAAAAAATCACATTGCTGATTGAGATGAAAATTATTATTAGAAAATAGTATTATGTGGGTCAATACGATTACTGCAATATATCATCGATATTGCACAAAATAAACAGACTGAATTTTATTAAACTCTTTATTTAAACTTTGTTCTTGATTAATAAATCTCTTTTACATGCGTGATATAACGAAGCATGTAAAATTTCAG